AAGGAAATGCAAACTATTTTTTGGGACGACCCAAAAAAGAAACTGGGAACTCTTTTGCATGATGCAGGGAGTACGTACTTAACTAAAGCTACCATTAACTCAACATCACGATGCTTAAATAATTGAATAGATTATTCGTAGTATAAGTCTAAATATGCTTAAATTTAAATATATAAAGCTCTTTAAAAACAACCCAAAATTGGTTGCTTCCCATACGACCCCGATTTTACCAATAAACGCTAGATTTGGGCTTTTCCACTTTCCATCTATTTTTGTGTACTCCATTAATTAAACCGTTTTTTTGTACTAACGCTAATATATATCCAAGTCGATTCAGCCGAGGCAGGCCGGTTTTTAAACATAGTGTAGATAAATATAGTGATGCACTTTTTAGGTTCCATTCTCCATTTTCTAGACCTTCATTTTAAAGCTATATCATCATCTATTAATATATATAAATGGTGGTTTTCTCTTCTATCATTTCCAAAGATTCATCGTTCATTTTTCTTATTGGATTTCTTTTTTATTTATTTAAGCAAAATAGAAATTATGTCATCCCTCTGCTAATGGATTTTTACTGTTTCTTCTTCCAGTTTTATTACTCAAACGACAATTTTAGTCCTAATATTTTCTACAAATAGAATTTAATATCTTATTTCTAAGTTTATTGCCAACAAAATTGTTGCTTTGTTTTTTTTTTAATTGTTGCTATGTCTTTTTTCATATAATTTCAATGCTTGAAATTATCCATGATAGACCCATGTATTGACAGGTCTATTTTTGGACGAATTATTACTTAGAAGAAATTTAAAAAAAAAACACTAAAACTCATTTAGCCTCATTAGTCTGAATTATATATGGAGTGTAACATTTAGCTCAATTGACAACTATGATTCGGCAGCAGTCAATAATAAACATTATCAAAACGATCATACCAAATATCTATAAACGTTCATACGGTATCAATATTTTGAACCACTGGCAGCACTCAATATTTAACTTATAGGCGAATCAAATATCATGCTTTTAGGCTTTTAGCTATCTTAAGTTACATACTTGATAAACATTTTAATAAGAAAAAATCCCAAGTAAGAATAGATATTCAAGTGCAATGTTAGGGTTGTAACATATGCATCATCAATTCATCAAACACCACAAGATAGCACATGCGCATGTTTCTAAATTTTAACTCGTTCTTTTAACCATAGAGAATGACCGCCCGTCACAACACCTACCGTCGGCTCCAGTTTCCTTCCACAATGCTCTGCCCGGCAAATAAAACCGGCGACCATGATCATCTTCTGCGATCAAAATTAACAGAAACTTCCGTTCCATACTTCCATTTACATAGAGTCAAGCATTCAAAGAGGACAACCATCAAATCGGAATTATCAATTTCTTCTCAAAGCAAATGACATTCAACATTAGTGGTCCAGCATTTTATATCATTAGTGATTAATTAACTTGTCTTTATGAGCATTTGGACGTGAGTTACTCAATACATAGGCGTATTATTGGTGATTGCAAAGGTCGGCTATCGTGCATGCGGCTAGTTATTCAATAGGAGTATTAATGTATAGCTATAATCAATGCACACTTTTGGATTCCCAAAAGTTCTGGCAAAATAATACTCGTGCCAAATTAATTCTGACATTGATGTTTTGCGAATCCCAAAAGACACTCCTCGCCTAAGCTAACTTTCTTCATTAGTATTCCCAACTTGCTACAGTGTTCCCACCCAAATTCCCTCCCCACTTTTCTGTTTTATATATATATATATATATATATATATATATATATATATATATATATATATATATATATATATATATATATAGATTATACATTCATACACACTCATTAGGCTCATAGCAGCCAACTAGTTTTAGTAATTTAGCAAGTGGACAATCTCAGTATGAAATAAATTTAATAGAGCAATCAACCAAAGGATTCGGTTTTAAACTTTTTGGCCATTTTGTAGGTTTTTAGCTATACTATTTAAAACTTATTTTTACAATAATTCAGTTATTCAGAGATAGAATGAGGTAAAAAAATTAAAACTAGATTATTATTTTTCAGTTATACAAATAGTGCAGGTAGTTTTTTATGTGTTTTTTAAGCAACTTTATTTAACTATTCTATTTTACAGATTCCATCTTTATTAATTCAATGAATTTTTTATTTGTATAGCAGCACTATGAATCACGAGGTGTGAATGAAGGTGACAAAGGGACACCACACATGATAGTTCTGAACTGATATGTTCTCAAGGAGATGTAAGGAATGAATTATGCGCGCACTAAAAGAGTTCTTACTTCAATTCTGTGGAATGATTTTAACATACTTGAAAAGGGAAAAGATAATAAACTCAGGGCAAGTTGCAAAACTTGCAAAAAAGTTATTTAGTTGGATTATAACAATATGGATCATCAACCCTAAAGCGTCATCTTGATAGATGCAAAGAACAGTCATTATGTGGGGATGTGGGTTCAGGGGCGAAGGCCGCGAAGCCAGAACACACTTGGGCCATACTGGGCTGATACAAAGAATATTTTAGCAAAAAAATTACACGAAATTTTTTACACTTAAAATTTAGACATTTTTAAAATTTGGGTTGGGCCAGGGTCAGGTTTGGTCCTCCCCTAGCTCCACCCCTGTGTGGGTTGATCATGAAGACAAATAGGGAAGTTAAGAGCTATAAAATTTGATGATATTGTTTTTCAAGAAAAGACAAATATGGCCATCATTGAGCATGATCCATTTTTTTTCCTAGTATAATAAGAGTGTCATGTAATTGCTTATGTATTTAATTCTACATTACAACTGCATTGCTGCCTCGGACGTTTTCAGGTTTTATGAGAAAAGAAAAGAAGCTCAGCCCCAAAAACGCTATAGCGGTATAGCGGATAGCGGGATGACCACTATTTAGAATAGTTCAAATATAATAAATAACTACTAGAAGCATAAATCCTAACATACACATATTGAGTTCAAAAAGTATGATATACTTCATACGTAGTGTGTCAATGAAGGTTGCAAACATCTTAACATTCATAAATCCTAAATTACTTACAAATACTCTTTAGTTTCATGAGCAAAACAAAAGATGTTATTAATGATCAAAACAACTTAAGTCAAAACATTGAATCAAAAATAAGGTTTTAGTTTAAGAGTTTAAACCTTGATATATTGACAGTCAAATACTCAAATTGTTCCACTTCCCAGCTGGGCCAAGGCGTTTTCATGTGGGCTTAAACATGGCAGTAGACTGACTGTCTGACTAGACTCCATATGAGGGTAAATTATACCATACACCCGGTCATATATTCTTCACTGTACAACTGGGTATTTTTGTAATTACCCTACCTCCATCCGGGTGCTCCAAGATCGGCGACAGACGACTGCGCACACCTCCACCAACCCAGAAGAGGAGGCAAATCAGGTGCAATGCGAGATCTATTCTCTGGCTAACAATCGACAAGGGGGTTGCGGTTTCATAATCGCTTGGGCATTTTCTGCGGATTTTATTTGAAGATGCTGTTCCAGTAATTATTTTGAAAGAAATGTAGCTATTTTAAATTTTTTTTCTATCTTGTTGGATGTTTATAGAAGGGAAAAGGTGCAAATAGGCCCATGTACTAACAAAAAAAGGTCAAATAAGCCCTTATTTAGGAGGCTCTGTCCAGCCGTCGTCATTTCGGGTAGTTCCCGGTGGAATTTTTTGATGGAATTTTATGAGCATCTTATTTATCAAGTCTAGTTTACTCATACCAAATTTAAGCAAAAACTTCAATCGGGAATACATTCAAATGAATTGTTGAAGATAACTGCGCTTCTAACTGCGCAGTTATTTTCAAGAATTCATTTGAATGTCTTTCCGATTGAAGTTTTAGCTGAAATTTGGTATGAGTAAACTAGACTTGATGAATAAGATGCTAAAAAAAATTTCATCACAAAATTCCACCGGGAATTACCCCAAATCGCGACGGCCGGACAGAGCCTCCTAAATAAGGACTTATTTGACCTTTTTTGGTTAGTACATGGGCCTATTTGCACCTTTTCCCTTTATAAAATTGGTTCGAATTAACTATTTGGTGTTCAGTAGCTTATTAGAAAGCTGTCAGCAGCAACATTTGACTTAGAATTAGTCATGGACCCGGTTCGAGCCGCCCAACCCGTGGACCGGACCGGCCCGCTACTGTGTGGGACCGGGACCGGCCCAGTTCTCGGGTCCGGGTCGGGCCTAGGCCCGGTGGGGGGCGGGTCCGGGCTCGGGCCTTCCCAAAAAAAGCCCGGCCCAGGTCCATGACTGCTTAGAATAGTGCTCATATTGACTTATTTCATAAATTAGTAGCTCTCGATCGCTAGTGTTGATTAGGGATTGGGGAGGATTGCAATTGCCAATTGCCAATTGCTACTCATTCTAGCTAAGTAGCTATACATGCCATATTGTCATGGACTCATGGTAAGAATCTAATCGAACTAATAGACTTTTGTGTCTGTTATCAGGTCCGATTTTAGCACAATCATGTTGCTATTAATAAATTTGGATGGATGGAATGACAATGATTTGATACGAACGTGTTTGATATGGTAGAATGGCAATGATCTGATGCGTGTGATTGGTGTGAATTTCTTTTTTGAGCCATATGACACATGTATTTTGCATGTATTTTTAAAATGGATCGCATACCTTCCTAAACAACGTTTTTTACATGTAAAATGTGCATCCCTACACTTTATATCCAATCACTTTACATGCAAAATTTTAATATGTAAAGAACCAAACACCCCTTAGGGGAAGGAGTTATTGCCAGCAAGTTACATTTTTATATATCTATAAAGATAGAAGCACCCAAAGATAAAATCTACCAAAAGTGTTGAAATAGATTTGGAAATGATATAGAAATGGTAAGTACACAAATTGTACTTAGTGTACATGACTTGTACACAAAACCCCCTAGTTGTCTGTGTACACAGACAATTCGTTTAAAAAGGGGCAGAATTTCATGTCAATTTGTTTGTGTATACAGACAATGTACACATTTTGTGTATAAGTTGTGTACACCAAGAATGGTCCTTCATATTTACTTCATGATTTTTTTATTATCCATTTCTCTATTGTTGAGAAAAACTACTAAAGTATTCGATTTTTTTTTTGAAAGTAAAATAGAGTATTCCTAAATGATATGATTAAATAGAGTCAATAGACAGAGCTAAGTACGGTAACACAAGAACCACAAGATTAAACACAAATAATCAACCAAAATTATATCTCCATCCGTAGTTTCTCATCAATGGTGACACCCTATCATCTCCGCTGGACTCTGGGCTGCTGTAATTATTAGTGGGCATCCACTTCGCTTGCCTCGCATAAGCTTTCATGTTTGGGCTTCTTGAGCCCATCTGACGAGCTGGTCTACTTTTGGTTGATGAGTTCCATTGGGCTGATCTCTGGGTATGGATCTTATTCGAGTCTTGTTGGGTCCGCACCTTTGCCTTAGCAGATTGTGTTGGGGCCATGAAACTCGGAACATTCTCTTCCAAGCCCGGCCAAGTTTGTCGACGTCCATAGGTTGAATTCGGGCTACTAGTTCCGCCCGCGTTAATAAAGTTATATTTGGTTGTTGATTGGACATGCTCGGGTCGGACTAATCGTGCGGGAAAATTGATTTCAACTGTCTTTTCGGATATACCATCTGAACTGGAAATGGTCAGGCAAGATGCATCTCGTGGCTGGCTAGGCCGCGAAGACTCGGTTGCTTGTGAAGCCATCCATCCATCCATCCAACTCCTTCGCCATTGTGGCTCTTCTTTCCCATATAACACTTCATGATGGTGGTCACTTGCACTAGAATCCCATAATATTTGCTCTTTGTCCTGTTATAAACAATCCATAACATATTTTGAGACTATAATTCAGGGGTTTTGTGATTTTCCTAAACATCTCAATTGTCAATTTTTAAGTGTTGGAAAACAATAAAAGGGGCCTAATATGTAATTAATTAAAATGTGTTTACCATCAAATAAATAATACAGTGGCTATTCATGAAATAATAAAAGTGTAGATACCGGGATAATATATTTCTTTTGGTGACGGGTCAAATTAAATATATTACACTAAAGTAATACAACAGTTATGACCCCCGATGCGTGTAAACTAAGAGATAACAGTATAAATATTGTAACGAAAAATGGCCTAATAAATTATTCTAAATAATATCATTATTATATTAATAATTAAGGAATTATTATTAGAATTGAAGGGGGCCAACCGTTACAATATTGAACTAGCTAGTCCTATATATATCCCATCTATTATAGGATTAGGACATCTCTCATAAGCTACATAGCATTGGAAGGTTTAACCTACTAGCTTTCTTGGATTCTTGGGTCTTCTTAAAGTGATAATGCAAATGAATTCTCAAGGTATGGTTCTAATTTTAGTTCATACATGTTTGATTTCATGGATTTATATGGATTTAGCTATTATATATTTATATATATATTGCATACGGAGTTTTGTTGATATGTATATATGAATATCCATCAATTGGTATCAGAGCCTACCATTATAGATCCATGGAATTTTTTAATCAACACATGAATCCATTGCCTATATGATATAGTCTGTTTTTGAACTGTTGGTTTAATGTATGTACGAAGGTTCTTCTCTTGTATCAAGTATATTTGGTTTTAGAAAGAACCGTTTCCTGAATATATAATTATTGATTGAGTAATGAATTATTAAGATTTGTTCCGCTGCAATTTTTCCTTACGGATTCATATCTCAAGCTTTTATCAATAATCAAGTTCTGATCTATAAGTTTAATTTGATCGCATAAGGTTCTGCCCCAATAATTTTATATAATTTTGGTGACAGATGATTAGTTTAATACATGAAGAACGTTAGATTATTATTCTTCCGTTGCATGTGTATTATTCATACGGATTCATGTATGTCTCAAGCTATCATTGTGATAATTCAATGCTATAAAATTTTGATCGCATGGAATTTTTGGTTTTGTTTTAAGCATTGATGTAATGCTCCGTTAGTCCGTATGCATGTATGATTGTGTTTTTTCTTTATTCAAGTTAGCGTACGTGTAAATATATATGGTGTTAAATGCAAATTAAAATTTTTTATTTCATCAAGTGGAATCTGCCTAGCTACCTTATGGCAGCCGTTTTTTTTATTTTGCAACAGTTATGCCCACTTGTATTGAATTAGTGAAATACAGCAGTTATGCAACGTTCCATTAAAAAAAAAAAATGCTTTCATGATAATTAATGAAATCGTTTTATGGGTCAAGTTAATTCCTTGAAACGTCAATTCCCGTTGTTTATGTGCCAGGAGGGAACATTTGATTTTCTAATATGGATAAAATATATCATGAATTAAATTGATGTTAATACATTGGGTTTTTGAACTTACTGGCAATTTGTCTTTTAAGTTTGATTTCATGCTATTTTTATTATCAAACTTTGTGATCAAATTGTTGATGTTCATGTTCAAATCCATTATAAGTTGATAACCACACATTTTTTTTTCTCAAGATAGAAGTGTGGTACATTTTTGAAGGGAAATTGTAAAATAAAAGGAAGTTTAGTATTTAAAATGAGTATATAGAAACAATATGTCACCAAAGTGATCCTATTGTGTAAGTTGCTCATATAAAATATTAAACATAGTATACACTTCGTATATATTTCAAGTAAATATTAATCGGCCCAAAGGAAGATTAATATTTTATCAAGTTATATATATACATTTTGGTAATAATAAATATATAACAATTATAAGGTCGCACTTTAAAAGAAAAAGTCAACCCAAAGGTGGATTTTTCTTTTATATGTATTATTGTTATATTTTATTGTTACAACAAGAGTATCACTAGCAATTAGTATTATTGTCCAAAGATAAAATACTAATGGTGCATTTGGTATCTTGTGATGGGTTAAAAATCATTTTACAATTTCACTAAAATATATGTTCATTGCCTTGTTCTTTCTACAGCTAATTTTTCGAGCATATCTGCCAATCTCAACTCCATCCCTGTCCTAAATGGCACTAACTTTAAGGAATGGAAAGAAAATATTCTAATAACTTTGGGCTGCATGGATCTTGACTTAGCATTAAGGGTAGAGCAACCTGCTTCTCTTACGGATGGTAGTACCCAAGATGAAAAAAGGTACTATGAGAAGTGGGATCGCTCGAATCGCTTAAGTCTTATGATCATAAAGCGTGGAATTCCAGAATCTTTTAGGGGTGCTGTATTCGATGAGGTTACTAATGCCAAGGATTTCCTTACTGAAATTGAGAAACGTTTTGTTAAAAGCGATAAGGCGGAAATAAGCATGTTGTTAAAAGACTTTACTTCCAAAAGGTATTCAGGAAAAGGAAATATAAGAGAGTATATTATGGAAATGTCTTATATTGTTTCTAGGCTCAAGACACTTAAGATTGAGATATCGGAAGATGTTCTCGTACACATAGTCTTGAACTCTCTTCCTATTGCATTTGATCCTTTTAAGGTTAGTTATAACTGTCAAAAGGAGAAGTGGTCTCTTAATGAGCTCATTTCATATTGCGTGCAAGAGGAAGAGAGGATGAAACAGAATAAGACAGAAAGTGCTCACTTGGCTAGTACCTCTAAGGATAAGGGAAAAAAGAGGAAGAAAACTCCCATTAAGAATGAAGCTGCTAAAGGTCCAGTACAGATGAAACATAAGGAAGGTGAAACAACCTGTTTCTTCTGTAAGAAGTCTGGACACATGAAAAAGGATTGTACCAAGTATCACGCATGGAAAGTGAAGAAAGGTATTGTCCTTGCTTTGGTTTGTACTGAAAATAATTTAGCTTCGGTGCCTAGAAATACTTGGTGGTTAGACTCCGGCTCAACATCTAACATCAGTATTTCTATGCAGGGTTGTCTGAGCCACCGCAAGCCAAATGATGCTGAAAGATGCGTCTATGTGGGAGATGGCAAAGCGGTGCATGTGGAGGCTATTGGGCATTTTAGATTGTTATTATCTACCGGTTTCTATTTGGATTTAAAAGACACTTTTATTGTTCCGTCATTTAGGCGGAATTTGGTTTCTGTTTCTTATTTGGACAAATTAGGTTATCATTGTTCTTTTGGAAACTTCCGGTTTAATTTGTCTTTAAATTCAAATATTGTGGGGACTGGTTCTTTTATGTCATATGACAATCTTTACATGCTTGAAACAATAACTTCATATAATAATGCTTTGAATGTTGACACCCGAGGCACTAAGCGAAAGGTTGATAATGCACAATCTGGTTTTTTCTGGCACAGACGATTAGGTCACATCTCTAAAAATAGAGTTGAACGTCTTGTGTCCGATGGAACACTTAATTCCATTGATTTTTCTGATTTCAATACTTGTATTGAGTGCATTAAAGGGAAACAAACCAAAAATAAGAAAAAAGGTGCATATAGAGCTACAGATGTCTTAGAATTAATACACACGGATATTTGTGGGCCATTTCCTACTCCTTCATGGAATGGTCAACAATATTTTGTGTCATTCATAGACGATTACTCTAGATATGCATACTTATTTCTTATACATGAAAAATCTCAAGTCTTGGACGTGTTTAAATCTTACAAAGCGGAAGTTGAGAATCAACTCAACAAACGCATAAAGAAAGTCAAATCCGACCGTGGTGGTGAATACTATGGGAGGTATGACGGCTCAGGTGAACAACGTCCAGGGCCTTTTGCCAAATTTCTAGAGGAATGTGGGATTGTCCCTCAATACACTATGCCGGGTTCACCTAGCATGAATGGTGTAGCTGAGAGACGTAATAGAACCCTTAAAGAAATGGTAAGAAGTATGATTTCTCATTCTATCTTACCGGAATCCCTCTGGGGTGAGGCATTAAAGACCGCAGCTTACATTCTTAATCGAGTGCCAACTAAAGCAACTACTAAAACACCTTATGAGCTTTGGACGGGTAAAAAGCCTAGTTTAAAGCATTTTCATATTTGGGGTTGTCCAGCTGAGGCAAAGCCGTATAGGCCACATGAAAAGAAACTAGAACCCAAAACAGTTAGTAGTTACTTTATTGGTTACTCGGAACGATCTAGGGGATATAAATTTTATAATCCTGAGGATAAAAATATTTTTGAAACGGGAACTGCCATATTTTTCGAGGATGTTGAGTTTGGGGGGAAAAATAAAGTTAGGGATATTGTCTTTGAGGAAGAATTGATTTCAATACCTGAACCAATTCATATGGATGTTTCTTTTGAAACTAATGAGGAACCTCAACAAGGCATTATTTCATCTTCTCCTTTCCAAACTGAACAAATTGTTCAAAATGAACAAACTCAACTTCCTCTGGAACAAGTGCAACAAGAAAACGTGCCATTGCGGCGATCCACTAGAGAAAGGAGATACGCAATTCCAGATGATTATGTTGTATATCTCCAAGAACATGCGTCAAGCATGGATACAGAGAACGATGTCCTTGTGTTTATTCAAGAACATGAGGAAGAAAGTGGCGTAATGGAAGATGATCCAATCAACTTCTGTCGAGCCATGAAAAGTACAAATTCTCAAAAGTGGATTGTGGCAATGAATGAGGAGTATAAATCTATGCAAGACAATAAAGTTTGGGAACTCGTCCCATTACCTGAAGGTTGTAAACCCATTGGTTGTAAATGGATATTTAAAACCAAAAGGGATTCAAGGGGTAATGTGGAGAGATATAAAGTGCGTCTTGTAGCTAAAGGTTATACTCAAAAGGAAGGAATTGATTATAAAGAGACCTTTTCTCCGGTTTCATCAAAGGACTCTTTTAGAATCATTATGGCTTTAGTTGCACATTTTAATTTAGAGCTTCATCAGATGGATGTTAAGACAACGTTTCTCAATGGAGACATTGATGAAACTATTTACATGGTGCAACCAGAAAATTTTGTGATTGGAGATCCAAAACAAATGGTTTGCAAATTAACAAAATCCATCTATGGGCTAAAACAGGCTTCTCGTCAATGGTATCACAAATTTCATCAAGTCATTTTATCATTTGGTTTTAAGATGAATGATGTAGATGATTGTGTATATCATAAGTTTAGTGGGAGTAAAATATTTTTCCTGGTCTTATATGTTGATGACATTCTTCTTGCCACTAATGACATAGGCATGTTGCATGAAACCAAGAGATTTCTATCAAAACATTTTGAAATGAAAGATCTTGGTGAAGCCTCCTTTGTATTAGGAATTGAAATTCTTCGTGAGAGATCACAAGGAATCTTAAGGTTATCACAAAGGAACTATGTCGATAAGGTCCTTAAAAGGTTTGGCATGGAAGATTGTAGACCGTGTGATACCCCTATCTCTAAAGGAGACAAGTTTAGTCTCGACCAGTGCCCTAAAACAAATTTGGAAATTCAAGAAATGAAAAAGATTCCCTACGCATCTGTTGTAGGAAGTCTTATGTATGCCCAAGTTTGTACGCGTCCGGATATTGCGTATATTGTTGGGATGCTAGGCAGATATCTCAGTAATCCAGGAATGACTCATTGGGTGGCGGCCAAAAGAGTAATGAGATACTTAAAGAGAACAAGGGACTATATGCTTACATATAGAAAATCAGATCATTTGGAGGTCGTTGGATACTCCGACTCTGATTTTTCCGGTTGCAAAGACACTAGTAGATCTACTTCAGGCTATGTTTATCTACTAGCGTGTGGTGCTGTATCTTGGAAAAGTGTTAAGCAAGATATGATAGCTACCTCAACTATGGAGGCAGAGTTGTTGGCCTGTTTTGAAGCTTCAAACCATGGAATATGGATGCACAATTTTATTGATGGGCTGAAAATAATAAATGATGTTTCAAAGCCTATCAAGATATTTTGTGACAACAATTCTACGGTGCTTTACTCTAACAACAACAAGAGCTCGAGCAAAACAAAACACATTGAAGTGAAATATCGAGCTGTTAAAGAAAGGGTTCAGAATAAAAGGGTCACTATTGAACATATAAGTGCAAACTCCATGCTAGCGGATCCTTTAACGAAGGGTCTCCCACCAAAAGTTTTTCATGAGCATACTGCTCACTTGGGAGTCATTGATTTTAAGGAACCTCAAGTTTAGTGGGAGTTTATAAGTTATGCTTGATGTTCTATTGCTTTATGAATTTATCTTCTGATCAGAATAAAGTTTGACATTTGGTGTATTCTGAACAATTAAGATATTAAAGTTTAAAGTTTATTAAAGAAGGGTCAGTTGAAAATTTACATGTACATGCCACATTTCATGTAATTTTCATGCTACACATTTCATGATTGATCTATGTCATTATGTAATATTGATACTAGTGATCATTGGTGGTATAGTTATGTTTAACATAACAAAATGCTGCAATGATATGGTTCTATATTAGTATTACTGATGGACCAGATTGTTTAAGGATGTTATTTTATATGATGGTATTTTTGAGCTCATAAAGATAACACATTTTGTTAGGAATTACATATAAGGCCCAGTGAGAGATTGTTGGAAAACAATAAAAGAGGCCTAATATGTAATTAATTAAAATGTGTTTACCATCAAATAAATAATACAGTGGCTATTCATGAAATAATAAAAGTGTAGATACCAGGATAATATATTTCTTTTGGTGACGGGTCAAATTAAATATATTACACTAAAGTGATACAACGGTTATGACCCCCGATGCATGTAAACTAAGAGATAACAGTATAAATATTGTAACGAAAAATGGCCTAATAAATTATTCTAAATAATATCATTATTATATTAATAATTAAGGAATTATTATTAGAATTGAAGGGGGCCAACCGTTACAATATTGAACTAGCTAGTCCTATATATATCTCATCTATTATAGGATTAGGACATCTCTCATAAGCTACATAGCATTGGAAGGTTTAACCTACTAGCTTTCTTGGATTCTTGGGTCTTCTTAAAGTGATAATGCAAATGAATTCTCAAGGTATGGTTCTAATTTTAGTTTATACATGTTTGATTTCATGGATTTATATGGATTTAGCTATTATATATTTATATATATATTGCATACGGAGTTTTGTTGATATATATATATGAATATCCATCATTAAGTTCTCCAAGTTGAGGAGTTTTGAAAGATAATTAACTAAATGATAACTTAGCTCAATTTAGAATGAATATTAGTTCAACTATATGAATTCGTCACATCTCACGTTCCCTCTTACAACTTATCTTCCAAATTTATTACCAAAAGAAGAGTTTCTTAACCTTCTCCCTTCTTATCCTCTTACAACTTACCTTCGAAGTCTTCCCACCCTTCCCCGAACTCCCAAACATACCCTATAAAGGAAAAAGGAACATATGTATATTGGTGAAATGAAATGAGAAATGAAGGAACCTGGTAGGCATAGGCCGCATAAGCAAGATCTCTCTCTCTTTTCATCTCTGAATCATCATCCATTCCTCCAGAAGATTCCAGAATCGTATCACTCACCCCCTCATCATCATCCTTCTCCACCTGCTGCTTCTGCAATGTCTTTCCGAGCTTCCTCATCCTTTCTTCGAGATTCTGCAATGACCTTTCAGCTTCAAAGTCAACATTGACACCACCGGAGTGGCGGCTGATGGAGGGCAGCTTCTGTTTGACGGCGGCGGATTGCAGCACCCTCCCGGCTTTGACTCTTCCCTGCACGCGCACCAAAGATTGCATGCACCGCATCGTCATCAGCGTCTGCTTCCGCACATAGTTACCCCTTACCAATGCTTGCAGCCTCACCAATGCCCGCAGCGCCCTCAATGCTCTTCTTGCCTATCACATTCATTGATTTATCAGTCTTTCCCTTCATCCTAAAAAGTATTATGTTTTCTTTTTCATTTTTGAGGTTTGTATCCAGCTCAACTAGGTCGCTGACTCACTCATGTACGGTATTCCTCGAGTTCGAAACTCTATGAAGATAGTTTACTCAGACTTCCCAGCCCCCTCCCCCGACACCCCATGAGTAAAAAAATACTCTTATGTATTCGCAACTCATTGTTATGAGAATCAACGTGCTCACTACGAAGCATATTGACATAATGAAAGGTGGAAATATTCGTATTTTGAGAGAATCAACATCTTTCATCTCGTCAAATTGCTTCATATTTAGTACGTTGAAATGTTCAGTATATTTATATTTTGTATATGAACTTATAGTGAGTTTTAGTCTCAGATTAGACTTGACTGCACCCGTTAATCTCTAGTCAGGGGTGAAATGCATACATGGTAGCGTAATTATTGTTGATGTTGTATTTTCAAAAAAAAAAATGTTGATGTTGCGTTTTGGTACCTTAACTTTTAAATGAATCAAATATGTACCATAAGTATATATAAATGTTCCAACTTGAATTTTTATTCAAATTTACGGCTAAAAATTCTACACAGCAACTAAAATTCTATGTGTAGAGTCACTCTATTGTGATCACACGGACAAACATAAGTTGAGGTGGACTTTACGCATAGAATTTCGGTCGCCACGTATGACTTTTTGGTTGGAAATTTGAATAACATTACAAGTTGAAACATTTATGTATAATTAACGTATTATTGTGATGCATTTAAGAGTTAAGGTAACAAAATAAAACAATACCAATAGCTGTACCATTTATGCATTTCATTTTTTTTAATGAGTTAGGAATAAAAGAAAGCATTGGAAGTAGTTAGTACAAGATATCCTCTGTAATGGGATTGAATGAGTGTGGCAGCTCTGTCCGGCTTAGACCAGCGGCTACATCCTGCCAGCCTGAAAACCTCTGCAGCTGCCTTAGCGGCAGCGGCAGCAGCGGCAGCAGTGGAGAGCGCGACGGAAATGGCACGGTTAGGATCGTCGACCGGCGAATCATTGCCGTTGGTTTCCCTGCTGGTCAGATCAGGTGAAGGGAAATAATGTTCGAGTGAGACCACCTCCGGGGCTTCTTGGTCCCATTTGTCCTCTCCTGAGTTGTTTCTGTCTTCCTAGGAAATTGAATAATGTGTAGTTAACCTCCAATCATTAAAACATCATTAAACATAAGCAGTACCTAGGTTTGTGGTGGGATGATGATAGCAATATAATAACTGGATTGTAATAGTGACACCACCCCTTCTGGCCTGGCTTATTGGGACCATACATATATGGGTGCCCAGCAGAGTTAATTCAGTTAGGTAAGCTATCAAAAGTCTGCAACAACAGTTTGGAGCAGACCGGTCTTAAAGCTCCTTTGCCTTGCTGGCTGTCTACACTTTTTAACACTAGATTGTTTATTGAAGTTTATATCAATATTTCAACTATTCCAGAATCCAATGCATTATATGTTAGTTGTATATATACTTTGTTCTATAAATCGGCTTAGGCACTAGGCCGTGGTCGGGTTCTATAAATCGGCCTAGGCATTAGTCGGTGGTCGGGTGCTGGATTTGGTTGTAATCCCTTAGAAAAATTGGCCAGCCGTAGGCAGGTTAGGCGGTGCCTAGCTAGACGGTCCGGAATAGGCTGGTACCAACTTTGGAATCGATTTACTATATCCGTTTTGTCCTAAAACATTGTTTGATCAATAATACTCTACATATACTATTAAATTTATTAGATAATTACCACATTAACAAAGAAGTTTAATATTCCTGTTTTTATTTAAAAGTTTCTATTTACTTATTTTATTAGTTATAATTTCAATACAAAATATACTATAAAAATGCCTGTATTTTTAGTAGGGGAGGGCCATCCCTGGCCCTGGCCCAGCCCAAATTTTAAAAATGCCTGTATTTTTAGTGTAAAAAATTCCGTGTAAAAACTTTTCAAAAAATATTCTTTGTATCGGCCCAGTCCGGCCTAGTGCTCTAGCTCCGCCCCTGGTTATCTCTATTGTCAAAACATTATAAAGTCATTAATAAATAATATTCCGTACTTCGTATTAAATCTCATAGGAAATAAAAATAAAAAGGACGGCCTATGAGGACTAGCCTTTAGCACATTTGGGAACCCCAGAGGAGCTAGAGAGTGGACAACCTAGGACCCGATCCACCCAAATTTTAAAAATACTTCAATTATTAGTGTAAAAACATCATCTAAAAAGTTATACAGAAAAAATTTATACTCGCCTAGTCTGGCCCCTACGCCCATGTTTTAGAACAATGTTTGTATCTTTAGATATATGGTCAATGTTTTATGACCTAACATTCCTAATCAGAACTAGTAGTCTTATAGATCATAGTTAATTTGGTTAGTTAGTTGAAATAGTTGAATCTATAGTATTAAATTTTCTAACACTAATCTATATTGTTAACAGAGAAACCAAACTCTCCAATGGAGTTGTATTTGGCTGATGTAGATGCCACAAAAATCTTCAAAAAATCATCAGATTGAATCATCGTAATCAAGTCCTCGTTTTAATCATCAAAAAATCATTTTACTAGTTCAACACAAAAAAAAAAAAAAACTAAATACCACCTGACAAATGTAAGTTGGCATTACATACAGTCAGTTGTAGGCAATGTGCCAATGTAACATACTAACCTTGTTGGGAGAATCGTTCATAGGTTGCTGTGTGTAGAAGGCCTTCTTTACAGAGGAAAACCATCCACTTCCCTTCTTCCCCATTTTATCTCCAGGCCAGGAGTAGCTAGCTTTTCAATTGGAACACCAGAAAACCAATGATCAGATTTGACCCAGATAAGCATAAAGGATCATATGACAGGTAAAAGAACACAAGAAATTAAGGAATGTGGATATGGACTGTGATGGAACTAAATGAGAGAAATTATAGGTAGAAAGCTTTTGTGTATCTGTGCTTTTGATAGAGAAAAAGAGTTCAGAAATTAGTAGGGGTAAGCGTGAGTGTAATAAGTGCCCACTGCTATTCCCTCTCTGTATTTATCATTCTCACGTGACATTTTTCTTTTTTTCAACTTTACCCGGAAAAAGTTTCTAAACCTGCAGCACAAATTCCTACTAAAATATGTGAGCAGAATCATTAAGGAATGGGTATGTGAGGCTCTCTTCTTCGACATACCGCAACAACTATATGGTAGCCAAATGTTGTATATCCTTAGCAGCAGGTGGAGAATTTCGAGGATACCATTCATGGTTGAGCTCATGGACGAAGTGTGGGGCTAGGGGCTGGAACTGATCTGGACCAAAGGCAAGGAGCGGAAGATGCTTCAGTACTGTTGGACCGTCCCCCTCCTGAACTGCCGCCATGTAGTGCAGGAGAGTTTAACGCTTGGAAGCAATATTTTAATTTTACTATTTGTTTGATATTTATTTTTCATGATTAAACTGTTTATTTTTCTCTCGGTTACTTTTATTATTGTAAGACTCTTGATTGTGTGATGGGAGGTCTGCTTTAACCGTCCTTGGCTCATTTATGGGATCCGTGAATTATATTGCTTTTTTGGATGTGATTGACTCTAAGTCTGGTTCGAGGGCTGGCGGTTGCCTGTGGTCATTTTTTGTTTTATCCCCTATCTGAATGCTGCAATATCAATTTAACTCATCTGTTTTGACGATTAAAAATAAATTTGCATTTAGGTTTAAATTTTTTTGTTTATATGTGTGATACATGGGAATTTGGAGCCAAATTGAGACTGAAATCTTCTCTTCCAAAGATATGCTACGTTACTAAATGCGTCTCATTTTATGTGTCCTACTTTGACATGACACAATTATTAATAAAATGTTTGAAAAAGTAAAAGTTGTGGTTCAGATTTGAGTATGATACAATGAAATGTTGTTAATCACATATTTATTTCCAAAAAAGAAATATAACACTTATTTTGGGACAATCCAAAAGGGAAAATATGATATGTAAAATGGGACAACCGGAGTAAAAAATCTTTGATGATGTAAGTTACTGGTGTGTTGATTGATTTTATATTGGATTGTAACCATAAGCGATTATAAAAAAATTATTGACTTCAATAAGAACTCCAAGTATTGAACTATTTAACTTCCAATTTTAAGTGGAAAGGTAAATTCAAGTTATTGAATCATGTCTTCACGCTTCTTTTACCCAGTTATGTCGAGTCCAACCATAAATGGTTGGGATAGGAGCTGAGAAACATCCTACTGATTTATTAAACGAAAGGAAAGTATGCTTGTATTGTCATTAATCCATGCTAGATATAATCATATAGGATGGGTTTTACTTTGTTGCTAAAGTCATATATAGGACGTGTTTACTTCGTTGCTAAAGTTACAGTTAGGTTAGTAAGACATGTGAATTAAACACATAGACTGTTTAAAAAGTTGTTTACTAAAGTGCCGCTTACTAAACATATCACCCCTCATTGTAAAAGTTCACAAATAGGAGTTTGAGATTCAAATTCCCTTATTATAATTTAGCACCCTAACCCTATTTCATTTTCTAAACAAATCGTCATGTCGTCTGATTCATCTCATTTCTCTCGTCTCTCTCCTGTTTGTGAAATTCAGACGTAAGCCTTCTACCCCTCTTGCCAGTCTTTCCAATCTCTCGTCTCCGTCTTTCATCTACCTGCATCGCCATCAGCGATATATCTCAAAGCTACAACAACATCCATTTATCTTAATCAATTTATCGTATGTAAGTGTTGATCTCCTTCTCTTTCTCCCCCCTTTCTCCTTCATCGTTTTCCTCTTTTTTCCTGTCATCTCTCTTTTATTTCCTTTTTTGGACGATTTGAAAATTTATGATTCCTCTATTCTTGAACATTTTTTAATCAAGTGCCGCTATTCCTTATTCGAACTTTTTTGTGACTAATACCAGTGCTATATATATGGCAGGTGCCAATGTCACTACTTTTTTTTTTGAAAATCAAATTACTAATTTATTATTAAATGATAGCAAAGATACAAGAGAATGAATAGCCTAAAACTAGAATGGGATGAGACATAGAACAGAACAGATCCAATGAATCCTTCCAGATCGCTAATCCTGGAATAATGTAGTCTAGTCTAACAGCCTTGCTGCTCTTCTTGCTACTCCAAAGAGAAAATAAAAAATTACAACTAAAAGATCCGGCTTCACCAGCCACCGGAAAGAGAGAATTGGTTTGACCAGCAACCAACAAATGAAAGTAAAATCAGCCGAGTAGAAATTTTCTGAAGCATCGGTTTGACCAGCCACCGAAAAGGAGATCCAATTGATCATCTTCTTCTTCCCAGAGCGAGGCGGCGGTTCAGGTGGTGGGCGAGTATTTGGAACATCGGAACAACAAAGTTGAAAAAGCTTTACCAACCATGAACAACGAAGATTCACCAGATCGATTACACCGATTAAAAACACATAAGCTCTAGACATTGTTAGGAGAATAACATACCACACGCTCACATGAAGCAGACAAAATTCTCGGCCAATGAAGAAGCCGGACCAAAATCCTCAAAAATACAAACTAAAAAAGAACGGAAGCATTGAAAAACCTTTGATTCGATCTTTCACTGCATAAAGAATGTCATCATCTTCCAAAACTTTTTGCTGATTGAAACGGAAAAGGTTGAAAATCAGATCTTGAAGGAGGTTGGGGATGGCCGCCTAGGGTTTCCCCTAGGGCCGGCTCCCCTTCACTGCTCTCTAGAAATGAATGATTTTTTTCCCCAAACTTACTTGCTAAAAAACAGTTTTGAAAATAGATTGACCCACATGTGCCAATGTCACTACTAGTTATTCAAAATACTACGGAGTACATTTTAGTATTGCACTACATAATGTGTCATTATTATTTTTATCTCGAATGAATATTAGTTGTATATTTTGGAGTATGTTTTAGAATGAATATGAAATGATTTTGCTTCTATTTGGTTTTTCATAACTATGATTTAAAAGAGTTTCAAAATTCATATAAATTTCTAAATTATAACCCCCAATTCTTTATTTCAAATGAAACGATTTATTTATTGATTTGTAAACAAAGGGCTGGTTCGGTGATATCAAAATTGGTTGTATCGGGTGATTCTGTTGAAACTTATGAAATTCTTGCTGAAGTAGTCAGATTGACTGATTCTGCTAATTTATATAAAAACTATATTTAAAAGTTATTTTATTAATAACATAAAGAAAAATTTATATGAAAATAGCTAAAATATTAGATTGATTGGGCTTTACTATTTGTATAATTAGTATAGGTGGGCTAAGGGCTCTTGTTTGGTAGCATAACACGTGTATATATATTCTAGCTCCACTAATTGTATAGGCAGGAGAATATTTTCCAATCAAAATCATTATTTGCTTCCTTACTTTAGATGGTATCAGAGCAGCGGTAGATTGGCGTCGTGGTTTTCGGAAGAACTTCGCAGACAGCACCAGCGTGCGAGAAGCGGAGCTACACCATGGGCGACCCAACTTCCGTATATTATTTGGGACCCGGCGATCAACCCGGTAACCAAATTACTCATGTCATATTCAAAGGGGACAATTTCGTGGCGTGGTCTCGGGCTATCTCTTTGGGTCTCAAGGCACGCCGGAAATATGTGTTCATTGACGGAACAGAAAAGAAACCGACTGAAGCGGCGCAGCTTTCCAACTGGGAGACAGTGAACTCTATGGTTGTCTCGTGGCTGCTACGGTGTATGGATCCGGCACTAGCGGCTTCCATTCCGTTTCATGACGAAGCACGCTCATTGTGGTTATACTTGGAGAACAGGTTTAGTGTTACCAAACAAGAGCCCTTAGCCCACCTATACTAATTATACAAATAGTAAAGCCCAATCAATCTAATATAAAATGATCCTCTATAGCAACTTCCGCTAATACAATCAGAAAAGTAACTCCAACCTGTCGGGTCGGGCCGGGGGGGGGGGGGGGCTTGGGTTGGGGATTTAACCTTTTTTGAATCAAGATAAGTAACTTCAACCTTACTTTTTCTTATTATTACCGAATTTAACGCGTGAAATCAAAAGTTATGTGTTTAGTAAAAAATGGTTGATAAGCTTGTTAAGCTAAAAAAAACATATGTTCACCAGACTGGCTCAAAGATTCTTGCTCGATAAAGTGTGACATATTCATTTAATTATCTTAATTTAACTTCTACCTTGAGATTTATTAAGTTTCTAATTTTCTTAGACATATATGTGTAGTGACTAGTCTGATTTCTTATGACTTTGTGGGTTTATTTTTTTTGATTATACAAGGATGATGATGTCTATTTTTTCTACATTTCAAACTTTAGTGTTATTAGTTTGTGTTGTATGCTATTTAATTAATTAAAACACTTGTGGTTTGATATTTTTTTAACTTATTAAAATATTTTTTTTATTTTTTTTATTTTGAATTATTACTATATTATGGTGACATTAATACTTAATAAGTTTGAAAATTTTATTACCTACTATACATTTTGTGAGTGTAGCGGTATTTTTTACAAAAAATAAGAACCAAGAACCTGAACCAATCCAACCCGTTTCAAACGGGCCGGCGGGTAAGATCTGGTTGGTATTTTGAGATTTGATTTATCCGGACCGAAAATACCCATTAAATAGAACCGGTGGTCCTTGATAATTTATTGGTTAACCGGACAGGACTGGACCGTGTCCAGCCCTACTTGAAATCACTATTGTGTACTACGTTTGTAAATGTCCTCCAACTAAAATAGTGAAATGACTTGAGTCACATGTAGGTTTTGCTTCTGCTTTGAAAAGTGACTTTTTAAAATAATTTTAAAGAAAATGTTTAATAGTAAACGTTTGTAGTGTTTGAGAAAAATAGTAAAAGTTGGTATTGTTTGATAAATGTGTTTTTTTGTGTAATAGGAATTTAAAAAGCGGTTTCCGGTTTGTAGCTTTTGTGTACAATTTAAGCATAAGTTGTCAATTGAAAACACTCATTTCAGTTTTTTAAATCAAAAGCTGAAAATCACTTTTTTGTATTGTTTGAAAGACATACCCTAAGAGAGTGTGTGTAAGGGCTTTTACTTTTAAAAGAAGTATTTTTTAAGAAATTATATGAAATGTTTAATAGTAAAATTTAGTAGTGTTTGAAAAAATGACTTTGAAGAGTAAAAGCTAGTGTTTGATGAAAAAGTGATTTATGGTGTAATAAAAAGGTGAAAAGCATTTAAAACATCAATTTATGTACTTTTGGCGTTTCACTTAAAATTTAAAACTACTTAAAAATAAGTGGAAGTTGGTGTTGAAGAACACATGTTTTAGTTTTTCTCACCCAAAACTCACAAAAGTATTTTTTTAGCCCTTGCAAACACTCCCAAAATAAATAACTAAGTAAACTAATATACTTGGTAGTTGGGGCTTCTCAATGAGTTAAGTCTCGATTCAAATTCGATCAGAATCAGTTTTGGATATGAGTATGATCGTATAAAAGAAATTGCCCTAAATAGGAGTAAAAACGTTTTGAAATTCCAAAATAGGAGTATCATGATTTTTATTCCCTAAATAAGAGTGATCTGCCAAGTTTAGAAA